TTACCACACTGGCAAAATCGCATAACAGCAAAATCGCATAACAGCCGAGCATACACCCAGCAGCGCTGCTGATGCCTGAACGGTATGTGGAAAGAAGTGGGCGGGCATCGGGAGGCCACTATGGCACGGGGCAAGCACTATGGGCAGTCTATGTGAAGTGTACCCGGCGTATAAGACGACCCCCCACTTGGAGGCATATTTTTCAGGGCCAAAAAATCGTCTTATACGCCAGCAAATACGGTAGGTAGTGGATGTGAAAGGTGCTATCGAAATACAAAGCATACGTTAGTATAAATGATTATGCTATGACTTGCAGAGAAACATAACTCTGGATTCCCCCATGCTCCTGGGATTAATGGACAACCTAAAGAAGTGAAATTTATGGTCCCAAAGTCTTATTTCAACCAGTAGTTGCATCTTAGTTTTGATCATTGTATTTTTCACTGAGCTACTGTCAGGGAACAAAATAGAACCACAGAACTCCCATTCTTTCCAGATTCCCTGACTGAAATCTGGTTCCCATCTGAGTAAGTGCAGGAAGTGCCAAAAGCCAGGCAGGCCATTCAAGAAAGGGAGGAAAACAAATGGCCGAGATCATCTCCGCAGCCGAATATCAGCTCCTGAAGAAGAAAATTGGGAACACTTCCTCCATTATGTTAGTAGATATTATTAGAGTACTATTAAGTCATGTCATTTCTGACTATAGGAATGATCTCTGAAAGCACAGTTTTGGCCTGTTATTTCTAAGCAGTATGTAGCTACTATATCAAGGGAACATGTGAGGTAGGATCTGTCTTATTGATCAGGAATCCCTGGTGTCTAGCACAGTGCCTGGAGCTTACCCTGCTCTTACTTAGGGTTTGTTGTGTGACCAGCTCTAGCAACTCAAAGTTCTTACGGTGCTTTAGCATTAACTTAGCACTTTTATTTACCTTATGTTATTGATTCTCTTAATAATCTTACTTTGCAGATGAAGAAAAGTAGTTTCAGAGAGGCTAAATGACTAGGGCTCCCTCATTTCTGGCCTCTGGGCATCCAGGCCTCTTAGTGCCAAATCCAGTAGTTCCCAGAAGTAAAGCTTCTGCTTCTGCATGGACCGGCGAGATGGCCTCCACTTCCTTAAAGGGAGTTGCTACTCTGATGCAATCCCTTCCCTACAAATGCTAGGTTTCCTAGAACTCCTGATAAACCAGTTGAATTTATGTGAAAGTGATAGGCAGTTTATAGGTGTTGAATAAGCATGCCTAGAAAGTAATAGGAGAGATTTTCAGGTATCATCTCTCGGTACAATCTATACTCCTTATCCTCCTGTCGATTGATTGACATGTGTGGTAACTTAATTAGAGCAGTTTTAGAAGCACTTGCATTTATCTAGCACCTAGTTCACAAAATGCTTTCATGTGATTTTTTTTTTTTAAACAGTTCCATACAGCACTGCTCTCCTAATTCAGAATGCTGGTGGTCCCCCAGCATATAGTCCAGTGCGTGGCACAAAAATAGATGATTGTTAAGTAATTGCCAAATGCTTGAATAAATACGTACTGAATGAAGAAATAAACTATTTGTTATTAAGTATGTTTTCTGTCATTTGATGCTGTTAAAAGAAAGCACAACATAAAATGGTAATTTTGTCTGTATCTTCAAGACTTGAACTTTTTGAGGACAGAGTTCAGAATACCCCCATTTAGTGAATGTTAATAATATATTCTAAAATAAAAAATTTCTAAAATTTAGCTCCCCTGCCCCCACCCCAACCAAACTCATAGTTTAGAGTTTTGGAAGGCTGCCGTTCTGTAACAACCCAGGATTTGTTGTTACCTTTGCCTTTCTTGGGAGCTGCTTCCTTGCCCATCCTTGGCATCGGCTGCATTTCCTTCATATATTGGGGTAGATGTGGATACTCTTTACCATACTGCATATGGGGAAGCTCCTTGCCCATGGTAAGGCCATCTTTGCTCAAAGGCATGTGAGGTACTTGCTGGCCCAGGGGCTGGTATTGTGGAATTTGCGGTTGGATCTGAGGAATTTGAGGCAGTGGCTTGATCCCATAGTAGGCACCGGCCTGAGTGAGCCTGATGGACCCCAGGGAAATGGTAAGCAGCACTCCCAGCAGCTGCCGAGGGGCAGGTGGCACAGCCATCACCTGTGGGGAAGGAAGGAAGGCACTGACATGTTGAAACCTGCAGGCCAAGTCATTGGATTATAGAGAAAAAGAAAAACACACAAGAAAACAGTCTTTATTATCAGAACTTCATGAGCAGAAGACTAATGGACAAAGTTTAGCTTTTAATAGACAAAAAAGAAAAACAGAAAAGAGTAGAATCTGTCAAATGAAGGCAGTTTGTAGGACAATTGATTGTAGGAGAGACTGCGCATTGCCCCTGAATATCAGTTCTGCCTTCTTCCATAGTGTTGTTACCCCTGATTTTCAGCTGGAACAGAGCAGCCTAGAACAAATACCTTTCAGCCAGGTGTGGCCGTCTGACAAAGTTCTGGCCAATTGGATGCAGTTGTAATAGGGGCAGCTCCTAAGAAGTATCCTAAAAATGAGTGGGCATGTTCTTCCTCTTCATCCTTCCTGCTGGCTAAAATGCCTGGAAACAGATCAGACACCTTGGACCATGAGGTGAAAGATGCGCACTGAGGAGCACCATGGTAGAAGAAACCTCAGCCCTGGTTGAACTTGGAGGCATCATATTGATCCCTAAGTTTGGAATTTGTTTATTAAAGAGAGAAACAAAGGTCTACCTTCTTTAAAACATGATTCGTTTGGGTGTCACACAGTCACACTAAATTCAATCCTTACAAATAGAGTGAATTTTCCAAAAGGAGGTGAACTTGGCGGCAAGTCAGGCTTTGTTAGTAAGTGCCAAAATTATATTCTGAATGGAAACAGTTGATAATTTATAGACTAATGCCAGAGGCTGAGATTCCTTTGGCTGCTTCGGTGTGGTCACAAATAGCTATAAATGTTAAAGAGCAAACAACAACAAAAACTGCAGAAGTCTGAATTTAAAGTAAGTTCTTCATGTGATAGTCCGAAAATGTCATTACAAAAATCACTATCATAATTATGCACATACAGGGATGTTATTTCTTCTTCTATTTAAATGCTGTGAAGTCATTCATGTAGAATTTGGCTAATTGGATTTGAAGTCCATTAGAATTTATCTTTGTACTATTATGAAAGAAAGGAGTTTACAAAGCAAATTAGTTGTATAAATAAGATAGAGATGTTTAAGTACTCATAAGAATAAACTGTTTCTAATCTCTTTAGTAACACCCTTTGCTAATTAACAGTTGACAGAATAAATATAAATGGGGCTTACGTATTTGTTTATAAAAATGAGCTTGAAAAGCTCTCTTGAAATGCCTAGGGCTGAAGATCCAACAGTCCAGGGAACTGCAGTGTTCCCAAATACCCACTAGAGGGCAAGCGTGGTACACATTGAAATCTGTCCAGTTATTCAGCCCCAATGCTAACACCAGATACTTTGCTCTCACTCCTTATTAAGGGATTTAATTAAAATCTGAATCATAAGTGGAGCCATCATAATGCTGGAGATGTGTGTGTGTGTGTGTGTGTGTGTGTGTGTGTGTGAGAGAGAGAGAGAGAGAGAGAGAGAGAGAGAGAGAGAGAGAGATTTTTTTTATCTATTCTTTAGAACAAATTAAATTGAACTTGCAAAACTTCTGTCTATAAATAATTTAATTTCCATTCTCCTGAGAGTTTGTTTTCTTTTCTGCTGCCTTACTTAAC